AAGTTTTTAATGCAAATGCCGCTCCTGGACATGGCCCAGCTCTCCAGGCAGCGTGACTCAGCGGTGGCTGCTCCAGGAAACACCTGGCAGCTGCCGCCTTCACCCCATCCGCTGGAAAGCGATGATAGCCAGGATTGTTTCCTTGCAGACCCGGCTGGACGTGTACACATCCCACTATCCCGATGGCACCTCTGTCAAAAACGTCATCCACTGGGCCCAGGTAGGATYCCCGACACGCAGATGCTTCACCCCTTCCCTGAGAGTCTGCTCTACCCAGGGCAGATGTGGGAGTTCAGGGACCTGGGACATGAGCAGCTCCCAAGAAAGCAAAGGCAAGGAATTGGAAGAGGTGCTGGATGCAGGATGAGCTGCTCTGGTCCCWCTGGGGACCAAGGGACTCTGTGGGGGGTGTGTGTGTCCTGTGCTGTGCCAGGGGCCCGATGGGGAGGCTACAGCTGGATGCTGAGAACAGTTTGGGGTCCCCCAGGAAGCCCCAAAGCAGAGAGTCCCCCTCAGGGACACGGTGTTGGTGGGGGGAAGCCCAAGGAGTGGCTGGGGGACCTGGGTGAGGAGGCAAAGGGGGACCCAGCAACATCTCCCCCTGACCAGAGGGGTGCTGGACACCTGGACTCTGCCCATTCTGCTGCAGCTCCAGCACTGGCCCTGCAGGACAGGGGGTCAGGCTGGAGAACCCCACCCCTGTGCCTCCCTGCAGAGCCAAATTACAGGGAAGGGAAGCTGAGAAAGGATGCTCAGGCTGTTGAGGGAACTCCAGCAGCACCCTGAACACACAGCAGGTGTGAGCAGGATTTCAGAGGGAAGGGAACACCTCGGTTTGCCAGGTGAGACATGGCTGGAGACAGGCACAGAGCCAGAGGTCAGAGCATCACCCTGATAAAAAGGTGCAAAGCCTGGCTCTGCAGGGATGCCATCTCCTCCTGCAGTGTCCCGTGGGTGAGGAGGCCAACACCTGTCCTTGTCCTGCCTGTCCCCAGCCAGCTGGCATGGTCAGGGACAGGCAGGTGGAGGGCAGGGACTTACCCAAACCCCTCTGAGCTCCCTATGGTGCTGGGTTCCTCAAGGGGGCCGCGAGATGCCAGACTCACACGGTGGCACTCACTGGCCCCCCACAGCAGATCCATCCTCTCCTCCAGGTGGTGAAATCAGGAGAATTCAAGGCCTTTGACTACGGCAGCGAGAACCCGTTCGTGTACCTCCAGGTAGGAGCCGGGGAGGCCAGGGGTCTGTCCAGGAGGGTGSAGGGACAGCTCAGCACCCCCGTGTCTCTGCAGGACACACCACCCCTGTACCGCGTGGAGGACATGCCGGTGCCCACAGCCGTGTGGTCCGGAGGGGAGGACTGGGCAGCGGACTGGAGGGAYGTCCGGCAGCTGCTGCCCCGCATCGCCCATCTCGTCAGCTACACCCACATCCCCGACTGGAACCACTGGGATTTCATCTGGGGCCTGGACGCCCCCCGGCGCCTCTACAGCAGCATCCTGCAGCTGATGGAGGGGTCCCGCTAGGGCAGCAGCTGCCAGAGGAGTCTGTCCCTGTCCCGCAGMTGGGACAGCCCGAGGAGGGTGTGGCACACTCCCTGCTGTCCCCTCCTCCCTGCTGGCCTGACACGCTTGTGGTGATGGGGCTTCTCATGCATCCCTTGGGTGTTGGGGTCTGTCCTCCACGCTTGGGAGCTCCTCAAGGAGTGGCACAGGGTCAGCCAAGGCTCTGGGGCAGGCAGGAGCCACCAGCCCTGCCAGGAGGGCCCCAAGAGATGGTGCAGATCCAGGGGCACACAGGGACCCTGCCAGGACCCCACAGTGGCTGCTCAATGGGTTGTGGATTAGAGAGCCAACCCATAAGGAGGATGAGTCTGGCTGTGGGGGGACAGGCTGAGAGCAGCCCCCAGCCATGGCACTGAAAGGGACGRAGGGAGGGGATGGATGAGGCCAGACCTTTCTTAGCAGCAGCAACAGGTGATGCAACGACGGCTTCTGGCCCCAGACTGCAGCCCAGCAGGGCTCAGGTTGGATTTGGAGAATCCGTTTTCCCCAAGACAAGTCCTCAAGGAAGTGGAAGGTCTCCATCTGGACCAAACCAGGCATTTGCCTCCATCGTTTGGTGCCGGAGGGTGCCCAGGAACGGCTGCTTGGCTCAGCACCAACACTGGGGAATGATCATCCCTCATCCCTGCRAGCTGGTGACCCCAAATACCCTGGGCTAGGTAGCAGGGCTGCCATCCCCCCAGGAAGCTGCTGCAAGGCTGATGTCCCCAGCCAGTCCCACCCTGCTGCTCGCTGCAAACCCGGAGGCGGGGAAAATCTCTCCAAAATAAATGCTCAAARGGGATTTCAGGAGCCTGTGTTCTGACACCCCCAGCTCTTTCTTGCACCTGAATATTTGCCAGGGAGCTGCCAGGGCCAGCAGGRACACAGTAACCCCAAAGGCAGCTCTCCGACGGTGCCGGCTGGGAGCATCCCAGTACATCCCAGTACCCTGCTCCACCCCTGGGCATGCGGCAGGAACATTCTCTGGCAAAAAAAAAACACCAACCAGCCTTGGGGTTGGAGAGTCTTATTGTATCCACGAGGGTTTGGGAATCACGGGTAGGTGGGAGCGCTGGCCCTTGGGCAAGACAGTGGGTGATGGGCATCCATGGCTCCTCCGCCTCGCCAGGCTGGCCAGCCATGGTATGAGGTGGAGGAGCAGSATGGGGAGAGGACCAGGCTGGAGAGGTGGTTCCAGGGCTGTCCCTACTCCAGGAGAGGTCCCCTCTCGTACCCCGGCCTTCTCCTGCCCTCCATGGGTGCAGTTGGTTCATCACTGGAT